GCCCTATGAATGAGTGGACACTGCCCCATAAATGAGTGGACACTGCCCCATAAATGAGTGGACACTTCCCCATGAATGAGTGGACACTGCCCTATGAATGAGTGGACACTGCCCCATAAATGAGTGGACACTGCCCCATGAATGAGTGGACACTTCCCCATAAATGAGTGGACACTGCCCCATAAATGAGTGGACACTGCCCCATGAATGAGTGGACACTGCTCCATGAATGAGTGGACACTGCCCTATGAATGAGTGGACAGTACCATGAATGACACACTGCACTAACGAAATGTCACGATGATCTCATACTAAAACATTTCGTAACGGCCAACCTATAGCACTGACCACTGGTCAGTACGTCTAGACTAGTGATCGCAGGGTGAATACCGGGCTTTGGTTAGTGGTCATTGGTTTGTTGGTCAGTAGCCAGGGGTCAGTGGTAGGGGTCAGTAATTGGATGAGGCGAGCAGGAGTATCGCTGGCTTCTTGAATCAACTGGACACTGTTGGGATTATTTCATTTCATGTTGAAGAACAGGTGACGTCATTTCCTGGGACGCGTGGGCGTGAGGTTGGTCAAACAAGATTTGTCTGGTTATATGAGTAGAGTAGATGTAGATGTTCTTACATTTTACACACAGACGGACGCAGTGTTTCTTCCAGACTTTTTTCTCCGGGAGGCACTTGAAATTTTCGGGGGGGGGGGGCGGTAGACTTTCTTCCAGGGGGGGGGGGGGCGGACACTGTTAAAAGTATATATTTTCTATATAAATTATATAAATTTAATTTCGTTCGAGGGGGGGGGGGGGCCTGGAAGAAACTCTGGACGGACGGACGGACGCACGCACGGGCTGGGTGACAGACAGACAGACAGACAGACAGACAGACAGACAGACAGACAGACAGACAGACAGACAGACAGACAGACAGACAGACAGACAGACAGACAGACAGACAGACAGACAGACAGACAGACAGACAGACAGACAGACAGACAGACAGACAGACAGACAGACAGACAGACAGACAGACAGACAGACAGACAGACAGACAGACAGACAGACAGACAGACAGACAGACAGACAGACAGACAGACAGACAGACAGACAGACAGACAGACAGACAGACAGACAGACAGACAGACAGACAGACAGACAGACAGACAGACAGACAGACAGACAGACAGACAGACAGACAGACAGACAGACAGACAGACAGACAGACAGACAGACAGACAGACAGACAGACAGACAGACAGACAGACAGACAGACAGACAGACAGACAGACGGACAGACATTGCACCAGTTGAACTAGTTAAGTATCTACTAAGGGTGTCACTATATTGTCCAATATAGCCCAAAGGGAGACCATTAATATATTACTTGTGGCTATAATTATTTTTTAAACCTGTGTGCCAATTGTAAGTATTTTGACAAACTCTCTAGTACAAATTATTCTAAAATAAATAAATAATTTCTTGATAGTTTGAATTTTAAATTTTACCCTGCAGAAATATTATATTCTTCTAATATGTGTATGTAAACACTTTAGTCTATTCGATTACAGATCTTACATAAATGCAAAAAAAATCGAATAAAGTAATGTTTGAAAACGTAATTTCCTTGAATAAATGACTTTTATTTATCTCAGCATAGCACATACACATGTCTCCTTTGTGGAAAGGAATCCATGAATAGAAAAGCCGTTGGCATTTGGAAGTGCAGCGGATGCTCTAAAACGGTTGCAGGGGGTGCTTGGGTGTATTCAGCTACATCTGCAGCTCAAGTACGCAGTGCTATTAGCCGTCTTAGAGAAATGAAAGAAATCTAAATAAATTTTGTAAAAAAAAAATTTATCTATTTCTGCAATTCACTATTGTACCAATGTAAATGAAATCCTTGTAAAACAACAAATTTGAGTGTGTGTGACTACTGGTTATTCCTTTTTCTTTGGTATTTACTATGTTTATTGTACAGAAAGGGATGCAATCTATGCAAATAAAGCTTTGTTTTCGACTATTCTTCCATAAGTTATACTCTTTCTAACTTTTGTTGGCACAAATGTTCCGAACCAGCCTCCATTTTTTGAACCAACGAGCTTTAAATTCAATGTATCTTATGTATTCAGTTACTTATTTCGCTATCTATTTACTATACTCTGTACATCAACGTAACTACCCTGTGAATATCCACCCAAACGGCGTGGAATGTTGCTGTATTTGTTTTAAATTGGAAAAAAAGTATTCAAATATAATATATATATATATATATATATATATATATATATATATATATATATATATATATATATATATATATATATATATATATGTTACTAAATACAAGCATTCACACACATGTTAATGTAATTTGTTTTATTGGAAAAAAAAAAGTATTTTTTAAAAACAATGTTTTTAGAACAAATGGCTGTCCATGTATTCATCTTGTGTTTGTTAACACAACACACCCATTTCCGTAACTGTGCTTCAACATCTTCAATGTTTACTATGTTTTCGTCTTGTTGATATTATTTATTCCATAAATAAGTTTTTCTACCATATTTAATTTGTAGGATTCTAGAAAACAAAACCAGTCCAGCGAATGCAATCAGTTATCTACATGGGTGTCTATTTCATGTCCCAGCCCCCTACAGCTTGGGCTTTCATGCCCTGATGGTCACAAAAAGTCCCACAATCCCTAGCATGAATTACCCAGCATGCTCCAGACTCAACTTCCGGCAGACGTGAGTGTTGGGCTGTTGCGGCATCCATTTAACCTTGTGTCTTTTTAGGGTCATTTCCGGTAGCATTCAATTTTCCTGAGAACAAAGGGATTGGGCTTGGTACTTTGTTGTTGAATGATCGATTGGGTTTCATTCTCTAGAGTCGTATCTTTACTGAAAAAAAGTGTTTTATTCAAGTCTTTAGAACAATTCTGGTTAAATAAAAAATAAAGCTAATACTCGAGCTAATACCAAAAATAACATTAAGGTAAAATCTTGTCAGCAGTGGTCTGGTGTCGGAAGGTCTGACCTGTATTGAAAACATTCACGTTAGAGGAACTGACAAGCTTACTACTGAATACATTCACGTTAGAGGAACTGACAAGCTTACAGGGTTTACAGACCACATCAGCAGTTGTATCTTACATCAGAAAATACAGATAGAAATGGAAACATTAAGTTAATAAAGTTATTGATTTATCCTAGGATCACAGATTAAAATCAGTACAATTATAAAGAGTTTACATGTTTCTGTAATCTCGACATAAGTAGGAAAAACGTGGTCAATGTGTACGTTCTATAACGTGAGTAAAATACCATCTTAGCTGTGTGGACTCATTTACACACTACAATTAGCCTTGGTCCTTATTGCCTTTATCACATTAAAAAAAAACGACAGTTATTATATGTTTGATAAACCAGAAGATTTTATTATGTGTTCAGAAAACAAACGAAAAAATCAAAACAAATGAAATAACACATTAACCATAAGTTGTATAAACGGATGTATTTGTAAATATATAAACCACGGGTTCCCAACCTGGGGGTCGCGACCCCCCTGGGGGTCGCGAAGGTCTTTCTGGGGGGTCGCCAACTAGTATACTAAACTTTAGTAATTTGAAACAAAACATAAATATTTAGAAGAATTTTTGAAATTCGACTTCATTAACATCACTGGAAATGTAATAGAGAAGAAACAAATCGTACTGTACAAAGTTGTTCTCAGTCACGAATCTATGAAATCTTCACCGGAACACATCAAAAAAGATATGGAGTTCTTTCGTCGATAAGAAGCTAATTGCAAACGCCAGAAACTTGATTGAATAGGAAGTTTTCACCAGCATTAGTGCAAGCATCAAATAAAGTCGCGATAGAAAATGCCAAGCAAAAAAATATAAAAAATAGGAGAAAATCTCATCAAACGCTACATGTGCGCAAATGTTAAATAATACAATTTTATTGAAATTAAGCTTTCACCATTGTTTGCTCTTTTGTCAAGATAGCATGGAGAAAATAAATACCTTTTTTAAAAACTGGATTATTAAAACGGGTTAGAACGGCTGTGGGGGTTTGTACAGATGGCGCGCCATCTATGTTTAGCTCAAAATCGGGCTTTCAGAGAACAGAAAAGATTTAGCTCCCTAACCACTGCCCTATCCAATCGACATCAAGAGTCCATTGCTAGTATAAGTCGTAAATTATATAAAATCTGGAGCCTTCAAAGAACTGAGCAAAAACATTAATATAGATCACGAGGTTCTGCTCTTCTACACTACAGTTCGCTGGCTGTCAAACGAAATGTTGTAAATTGTGTTTTTAAATTGAAATCTGAAATCAAATTGTTCTTGGGAGTGCAAAGGAAAGAAGACTTTTTGGTTTACTTAAAACGACATAGAGTGGTTGGAGAGAGTATCATACCTAGCAGATGTGTTCGAACATCAAGATAAGCTTAACCTTAAGCTTCAGGGAAAATGAACGAATATTATAACTTTCCATGATAATCTCGGGGCATTTTTATTAAAGCTGCAAAATCGGTAAAGAAACCAAATCGTGGAAATATTGTAAATTTGAGAAACTCTGCAGTGTGGTAGATGAATCTGACTGTGAGATCATTAAAATTTTGAAAGAAGCGATTTCTGGGCATCTTGAATCTCTTGAAAACGAACTGCATGGCTATTTCTCTGAGCTGAAAAAAGAAGAATCTGCATTTACGCATTACCCATTCTCTTCTTCCCTTGATGTTGCCAGCATTCCCGATGAATTACAAGATGAATTCTTTGATTTGCGGAATGATTTCGAGCAAGATGAAAAACTGCAGGCACAATTTTGGTGTAGTATTCACCATTCAGACCCAAACGTAAAATTGATTGACTTTTCGAGAATATATTTTCAACACTATTCTTCGATTAATAACAAAATTGAGATAATTATAATGACATAGATTAACAATTTTTTTTAAAAATTAAAAACTTAATCACGAGGAAAATCACAAAAGACACTAAAATTATTCACGGGAGATAACAATTAAAATTACCCACTTGATTTGTGAGAGTATGGTTATATACCTTGAAAACGATAATAATAAAAGAATATTCCAATCTCAGTAATACAAACATATTCAGAATTAAACTTTCATTTTGTACTAATATGTATTTATATTTGATAGTAGAGATTTCTTAATAAACAAACATGCTCGATATGAATACATTGATAAAACATTAACTACTGAAACAAAGGATTTACTTAAACAATCTATTTTTATTCTACTGTATGACCGCATAATGTTCACATTTATAATACAAAGCTTTACAGATCCCAAATTAACAGTTACAATCTATTTTATGTGATTTTGGATGTCATATATACATCGTTCGAAAAACTATGCGAAAAAATATTATTGAAAAAAATGCATAAACATTACACACGTTATTATGGTTGAACTACACACGATCCGAGTAAATGTCTAATTAAAGATATAGTGGTAGATGACAACTACACTACTAGTTATGTATATGCAAGAAATAAATGACACCATCATAGTCGTTTTTTTTTCTGTTTTAATGGCTAACACACACAGTCAATCTATGAGAAATTTCAATTCTAGATGAGTGTATAAATGGCTTTATTACATCATAACAGCAAAACAAACACAGTTGTAGTTTTTAAAATCATTTTTTGAATAAAATGTTTGGTTTAAAGTTCGTTAATTTTAAACTTCTTATGTAGACTAACCATCAAGAAAATATTGCCTTAGTTAAATGTTTACATCTATGTATTTTAATATATGTAATGTTGCTTATGTTTCTGAAGATTATATAAATAATTTGATTACTGTATATCCATTAATGTACCATAGCATTGTTTTCGGGTTGTTTACTTTCGACGAAGTTTCATCTCAACAAAGTCTAGAGAGCCAGAATAGCCTGTAATGCTAGACCATTGAATTCCTTTATTATAAACACGACTCGCCCATTCACCGTTGACGTTAACATTGTGACAAGCATGATACCACCAACCACCTCTCCTGTCTACAGCACAGTTGCCACTGTCTCTATCGTTATCAGAGTCAATGGTTGTAAACTTATCGCCGTAGTGATGACTAAATTTGTCTTCAACATTCCCATCACTGAATGACGTGTAGCTCATCTTATACTTTGCTGCTTCATTTTCTACCTTAAAACCTCTGTACACAGCGTAGTAGTCTGTACCGTTATACTTCATGTCAAATCTGAGTTCATTATAACCCTGTGTTAGACAAAAAATTAGAAATATTTAGATATTGCATTGTGTTAGAAATATTGTAAGTATGATCCCTCTATACTAAATGATAATTATACACATTGATAAAAAAAAAACATAACAAAAATCTATAAACAATATGCACAATTTTCCAAAACACATTATTACAATAATACACACACTGGAAACTCGCTTGTAAAAAGAAAATATTGAATAAACTTATTTTGATAGTTCCTGTATCTACCCCATCATTAAAACAAAAGACGTCTGTTGAGAAAGGAAATATTACATTATCTATTGCCTGCTTACATTGCACATTAAAAATATATTCCCTTACAAGAAATACTATTTATATTCAATTTACGTATGGCTTTTCTAGAACTCCCTCCTTTTCATTAATCTCCTTACATTGCTGCCGTTGTAACGCGCTCGCAGTTAGTAAACCCATCTTCCCTTACAATATATATTACTTATGAACTTTTCCTTCTTTTGATAAGCTCAATAGCCCTAATTCTAAATCTTAACACGTATCTTATTTGTATCTCTATATGTATGTTGTGTAATGGGGTTAATATAATAAAGGTGAGAGCAGGCGGGAGGGTGTGGAATAAAACTGTTGATAAAACCGGTAGAGGAAGAAATGACCGGTGGAAAATATCCTGTTGACTGCATTACACTATTCTTTAAGGTTCGATACATAACCACGATCTTTATTATATAAGCTGTATTACCCTTTCTAAAAATATCGAACTAATCTGTATATCGTTTATCTAATAAACACTTCTGAAATCAACGGATCAAGACACTTAGCTTTTTCCCGATAAATATAAAAACACGCTTTGTTAATTTATTCATCTATTAACAGACTGCTTGTGCAGTAAATACACCTTCGTCATATAAAGTGAAGATGTATAGTATTTGTTTCGTTAGTTAGGCAGGAGCCTCTATGTGTGTGCAAATAAGAAGGAGGAAGTGGCGCTGGGTGGGTCACATACTGCGAAAGGCTCTCACAAATGTTACACGCCAAGCGCTTGAGTGGAACCCCAAGGGAAAGCGGAAGAGAGGGTGCCCAAGACAGATCTGGAGGCGGGGTCTTCTTGAAGAACTGAAGCCAATAGGGATGTCTTGGGAGATGTCAAAATTAATAGCCGAGGATAGGAAGAAATGGAAGGAAATGGTTGAGGCCCTATGCCCTATGAGCAAAGAGGACTAAGTCAAAGTAAGTAAGTCAAGCATTACACTATTCTTCAAGGTTCGTTACATAACCACGATCTTTATTGTATAAACTGTTTAACCCTTCCTAAAAATATCGAACTAATCTGTATATCGTTTATCTAATAAACACTTCTGAAATCAGCGGATCAAGGCACTTAGCTTTCTCCCAATAAAAATAAAAACACGCTTTGTTAATTTATTCATCTATTAACATACTGCATGTGCAGTAAATGCACTTTCGTCATATAAAGTGAAGATCAGAGGCGTAGCAGTGACCCTTCCCGGCGCCCGGGGACAAACTTTTCGATTTGCACCCCCCCCCTCGAGATTTCGATTTGCACCCCCCTCAAACTTTCGATTTGCACACCCCCCCCCTCAAGATTTTGATTTGCGCCCCCCCCCCCCCTCAAACTTTCGATTTTCACACCCATCACCCGTTCAATTTATATTTATTTTTCCAACCCATTTTGGCGCTCACTAATGTCGGCGCCCGGGGACATATGTCCCCCCCGCCCCCGCCCCCCCCCCCCCCGCTACGCTACTGGTGAAGATGTATAGTATTTGTTTCGTTTGTTAGCTATTGTTTTGTAAAATTTCAAAACTCAACGAAATACATTAGGATGCATTCGCCATTAAAATAGCACGTTACTTAATCTAGGTCCATCTAAATGTATTTTAAATATTCAATGCCATGACTGATGATTTAAATGTGCATTTCAGTGACATGTGTACACCAGACGCACAGTCCAATCGATTTGAAGATAAAATAAAATTGTCAACATGAATGTATTGGTAACTGTAAACAATTGTATGCTATATTAATAGCAGAAATTTCAAGACTTTGCATTCACTACGCATCTCCACATTTGCAGCTTATATTATCCATCCATCTATTTATCCCCTTTTTTAACAGCCCATTAACAGTTTTAGCCAGATTCAATACATTCTTCCGCTCATATTTGTCATATATCTTCATCGTCCAATTCTTGAATTTTATTCATTTATTTTATCTCCACCTCAGCAATGCATCTAGGTCAAGTTGTAGCCTACATTATAGTAGCAATACAGAGCGTGTCTAAAAGAGCATCGTATTTTTTTTCTCGATCAGTATACAGCCTCTACGGCGGCTTAATACTAAACTCGTTTACAACATCGAATGTATAAGTTTTACGGTTGGGTAATATAAATTTAACTCTTAGCTTCCGAGTTTCTTGATCACAACACCTTAGATACGCATCACCGCCTCTGGTGTCTCACCAATCGCTCCTCTTTCTGATGTTTTTGTCCCCATGACCCCTACTCCTACAACCCTCGTGCCCCATCTCTGTTCGTACTATTAATTCTGTATGAATATGATTTCTATTGCTCCTTTTTTTGTATCGGTTTTATTTACATAACATTGTAACAAACATTGTAATGATATGTTTTAACACTAATTTAATAGTATTTTATATCTACTGTCCATTGGTCCATAGCTTACATGACCCCCCTCATGTCCCCATCCGTCTATCTTACCCCCCCCCTTATCAGACCCCACATCTTTTCACATGGAGTTGAATATCCTGAAAGTCATCCTTAAAATGGTTTTGTTTACCTTTATTAACATGTACGAAACTATTCAAATTCTTTCATGAGAACACTGCTAACCAATCGGTGACCTTTAAAACTCGACCGTATCTCCACACATCATTATAGCTTCACGCCTACCCACCCAAAACATGTCGGTACTAAGCAGTCAAATAATCTTAGCTACGACTATGAACATCGTCCCTGGAACACCAACCTTTACCCCCTCCCGCTCAATCGCTCTTATACCAACCTGTTCGGTAACCCCCCCCCCCCCCCTAACGAACTCACCTCACCAGAACATCAGCTTTGATTTGTTTGTGTTTTTTTCCTGGTATAGCTAGTATTGTACAGCCATCCGTGACGATAGTTGACAGACGACAATGAAAAGATCAAGTTGAGCCTGTTATTACCTCCCCTTATTTTTACATCGTTTAAAACCTAAATTATCTGACCCTAATAGCCGTAAATAATTCGACCGGGCTCTACGATTGTAAACAACTCACCAGACTGGTAGGGTTGGGGTGGTAGCGACATGGTCTGTTGGGTATGCATGGAGAGTGAGAGAGGGGGAGGTTCGGCGTGCGTCTACGTCTTGTCCCGAATGGTCCCCATGAAGAGAATTATATACGTAGATGTTTATTGTACAAAATGGGATGAAATCCACTTAAACCTACTTTATTTTCGACTTTTCTACTATATGTTATAATTTTCACGCTTGTTTTTGGTAAAATGTTTCAAACCAGCCTTTGACCACCTTTTTTTAACCAACATGCTTTAAACCCAATGTATTTTATGTTTTTATTTACTTATTTATCTATTTATTTATTATACCATATGCATCACTCTAACTACCATGTAAATATCCCCCTAAACTGCATGTTATGTTTCTGTATTTGTTTTAAAATTATAAAACACGATTACATTAGGCCCAAAATTAGTTTGGACATTATAGTATCTGGTTTGTTATCTCAGTATAGTTATACATCACATTGAAATATGTTAAATTACTCAGGAAATAGATCATTTTAAATTAATTGAAGCAGGCTACAAAAATTGTTTGCGGGGAATCCCTTTTTTTGTCTAGTTCCGCAATAGATTAAACAAACGTATGAATGCCAATTGTAGTACAATATCCTTCACTTACCTAATCAGTTATTAACTGCTAGTCAATAATACCCTCTCCTCTAAAATGTATTACTCTAGTTCTTTAATTGCTGTCCTCTCCTTTAAAATTATACCCTTTACCATTCCTACCCATTTCCTATTCATAACCCTAAGCTTTACATATCGGCTGGGCATAGTGCTGACCACATTATCTCTTCATATGCCGAGGTCACAGAAACAAGTGAACTCTACTTCACTTGCCCCATAGACCGTTAGGTTTGAAAGGGAACTTTACTTTACTTTTACTTACATATCGCTAACCATTTTATATATTTCTCTATGTACTGGTGTCCATTGAATAATAAAATTGGTCAGTGTCCTAATGCAGTTTTTGTTGAGTAGAGTAATTTACAGGGGTAGTTAATCTGAGGAAATGATAGGTGGATATGACTTGAGGATAATTAAAGAGAGTGGCAGAGTTTCTTCCAGGCAATTCTTCCGGGGGGGGGGGGGGCAAAAAAAATTCTACCCCCCCCCCGAAAAAAATGAAATTTATATAATTATATAGAAAATATATACTTTTTAAAAAATAAATAAGTGTATCTCATCTACAATTCAAAGATCATATAATAATATCAATAATATGATATCTGGCGATGAATAGGACAAGACATTTGTTTACCGATAGTAAGAAAAAAATGTTTTCCGTTAATAGACTACCTTTAACAGTTGTATACGTGCAAGTTATGTCAATTGAGATGATGTATTATAGTTTGTCAATTAATATTTTATTTTAGTAAAATATAAAAATCACTCAACCAAAAAAAGCGTGTTTCATACGTACTTACCCGTGTCATAATAGTTACTACAATGTATTTAATTGTCAATGCAAGTACTAAATTTTAAAGTAGATACTTTGTTGAAAATCACGTAGAATAAATTATGATCAAATTAAAAAATTGATGTTGAAACGACCCCATGTTTTGGGAAACAGTTATCACTTAACGTAAACTAACACGCTAGAGTATACATGTATCTTATAAAGTGATTTTTTAAAGAATAAGAAATTAAGTGATGCCATGTACATTGTGCAGTACAAAATTCAGTTTCCATGCATA